TACTGTAAAGGAGAATTTTTATAATTGAACATTATATTAAGTAATAAGATTCTATTGAATGTATTTATAAATACATTCAATAGAATCTTATTACTTAATATAATGTTCAATTATAAAAATTCTCCTTTACAGTAAGAGGAAAAAATATATATATTTTAAATATTACGATAATATAATTTTTTTCCTGAATTTTATTCATTTTTAAAATGTTAAATTGAATTTTTTTTTAATTTTCTGTGGTGCATTTAAATGGTTTAATTATGTAATAATAGGGAAAAAGTTAACGTTTTATTTATCTTATTATTGATAAATCTTTCCTATGAATTAATCATTTTTTTAAGTTTAAATTCTGTTTTATTCTTCAATTATTTAGTATTCTATACAGGAAAAGAAAATGTAAATAAATTCAGGAAAATTCAAATTTATTAATATACACCATAGATAAAAATTGGAAAAAATAATATATTAAAAATACATAAAATTTGCAAATATAACAGATTCAACCAGGACTAAAAAGTTATAAGGACAAGAATTAAAATGAAAACATAACCTACTATTGTTACGTTTATCACGAAGTGTCAAAGGAAGATATGGGGTGTCTAAGTTTCATGGTAGACTATATTTTCCGTAGGGTCCTATAGAGTAACTCTAAAAAACTTTGGTCCATAACAGCCAGAGTTTGGGAGTATATAGAGAACAGATAGACAGACACTCTATTCTATAGATACTCTAAAAAATAAATGCTAAATTATAAAATTTAATATTGAAATTAATAATTTTGCAGGCTCTCGAATGTATATATGGGACTATGTAGCTCATAGAAAGGGCTTTAACTGGAATGGAAGAATTAAAAGGTTTGGCCAAAATTCTCGCATCAGCGATTATTGGAGTTTTTTAGGACGTGTAACTCCATCTTTTGATAATAGTTCTTCAAGGAACGTCACTACACAGATAGGACAAACTGTTTATCTTCATTGTATTGTACACAACCTCGGAGATAAAACGGTAAGAAATATTTAATTTTCTTATTTTATTATAACAAAAGAAATATTTAAAAAATAATAATCATTTTTAGATAAGAAATATAATAATATAATTTTATAAAAATTATATCACTAATTAAATTTCGCTTTAGATAAGTATTTAAAAATTTTTTTCAATGTAAAATAAATAATATAAAAAAAATATGCTTTAAACTATTTTAAAATGTTATATTAATTAATAATTCTTTAATTAAAATTAAAATTAAATTTATCTAAAATTAAGTTAAGTAATTAACCTAATTAAATCGGATTATATAATTATAAATTAATAATAATGAAAAATACGATAACCTCCGAACAACGGACATTTTTTATGCTTCCTTCAGTGGCCGTTGTTTACAGGTTTGTCCGTTTACATTCTATCTTAATTAAATTATTTTTAAACGTTTAAAATAAATTTTTAATGTAAAAAAAAAATATATACAATAAATAGCGTGAATTTTTAATTTATAAAATGTAAATTAAAAAATGGTAAATTAACACGTAAAATGAAACGATTCGTACGTAAATTTGTAACTGTTATATGCGTTTAAACAACTATTCTGCTGTAACTAATCTGAATTGTTGTAGATGTAATTATCACGAAGCAGAATTAACTATATTAGAATTGTGGCTCACCAATTACAAAATAGCTGAAATGTGTCAATATAATAATGGGATATAGATGTAGTCGCAATTTTGATACGTCCTTTGATACTTTAAATTGAGCCATTAGTCACATACATTATTCATTTAAAAAATATTTTAACGAGGTTGATGTAATTTATTAATTAATTATTTTCAATTAAAACATAACGCAATTACTATAGAAATTTAATTTATTTACAGGGCTAATTTATCTATTTTAGCGTTTAAAAAAAAAGCAAAAATTGATATAAATTTTAAAGAGATAAATTAATAAACGTATCGTAAATCTTATAAAAATATGTTTTAATTTTATTAAATTATAAATCATTCTAATTTATTTTATTTTTTTTTAATCTGAGTTAAAAGTTTTATATGTTGTTTACTTTAATACAATAAAATGTAAATAATTTTTGGTAATAGATTAAAGTAGGAACAAGGGAGAAAAAAAATTGTAATTTAAAAGCATAGAATTCTGCAATAGTCAGAAGAAAATGATATGTAGAAAACATTCTGTAGTTGTAAAAGTGGGTATAGTTGGATATACGTGAGGTAGTTTCTTTGTCAATGCCTCCCTTACCAGCCATGACCACCTTTAGGTTTTACTATCGTTCTGTCTTACTGTTTTCTAAAAATTCCCATAAGAAGAATGTTATCTGCATCGAAACTAAGAGAGTTTACTTTAGTTTCTTTTCGAAATTCACTAGTCATCTGCATAAAAATGTTCACAAAATGTTCTTTCAATAAGATAAACTTTTACTTCCATTCTAAATATTAGTAAGCAGAAAAGTGTGTAAAAGTAAAATATAAAAATGATATATAATCTTATATAAATCAATATAAAAGTTATGGTATATATATATATATATTTATATATATAAGCAAGGTATATTGATTTTTCAATTCTTAGAATATTTTATTTTATGTTTTTCTGAATGTATATTTTATATGATATGATATCCTAAATATGAATTATTGATATTTTGTTTAAATATTTTATCAAGTTCAAAACTAAATAGAGAGGATTTTTCTTAAAGAATAAATGGTCTTTTATTTATTTATTTATTTTGAAATTTTCACTTAAAATTTATTTTATTTCTTTAATAAATTTATATCTATCTAGTAGTTAAATAAAATTTATATAAGCCTATATATACTTTTAAAATTCTTTAAAACTTTACTTTAGAATATTTTTCAAAAATTAATTATTAATTCGTTTTATATTTAAATTTATTGTTTTAATATGTTTAACTTTCTACATATTTATCAATTCAGTTGACAGTTAAGACTTTTCAGATGTAAGTGGTTCTCTTCTCTTACAAGCAAGCAACTAATTTAAACTTGAAAATATGTATCAAATTCAATTATGTAAGTGAGTAAAAGTATTCATGAATCAATCAGTTCGTCTTATTTATTGAGTTATGAAGAATTTCATTCAGTTACGTGATAGTAATGACTTATCTAAATTTAATTCTACTGATTTTTCACATTTTAAATAGTTTATTTAATGTCTATATTAGCATTTCCTTTCAAGTTGACATCATTGATGTATATATATATATATATATATAAATTCTCTTAAGAATTCACATACTTATAGTGCTACTACTACTGAAGAATAATCATGAATATCATGAATATTGTATTAGAAATACTGTGAAATACGTAAGTTTTGAATATAATATTAGATTATGAAAACAATTGATCGTCTATAATGCAAGAATTTCTGAAAATTCAATATTTTTATTTTCTTAGGATTTATGTAAAATCTACAAAACTCTTTAATACTTTTTGACAATTTTTATAAATTNTTACGATAATATAATTTTTTTCCTGAATTTTATTCATTTTTAAAATGTTAAATTGAATTTTTTTTTAATTTTCTGTGGTGCATTTAAATGGTTTAATTATGTAATAATAGGGAAAAAGTTAACGTTTTATTTATCTTATTATTGATAAATCTTTCCTATGAATTAATCATTTTTTTAAGTTTAAATTCTGTTTTATTCTTCAATTATTTAGTATTCTATACAGGAAAAGAAAATGTAAATAAATTCAGGAAAATTCAAATTTATTAATATACACCATAGATAAAAATTGGAAAAAATAATATATTAAAAATACATAAAATTTGCAAATATAACAGATTCAACCAGGACTAAAAAGTTATAAGGACAAGAATTAAAATGAAAACATAACCTACTATTGTTACGTTTATCACGAAGTGTCAAAGGAAGATATGGGGTGTCTAAGTTTCATGGTAGACTATATTTTCCGTAGGGTCCTATAGAGTAACTCTAAAAAACTTTGGTCCATAACAGCCAGAGTTTGGGAGTATATAGAGAACAGATAGACAGACACTCTATTCTATAGATACTCTAAAAAATAAATGCTAAATTATAAAATTTAATATTGAAATTAATAATTTTGCAGGCTCTCGAATGTATATATGGGACTATGTAGCTCATAGAAAGGGCTTTAACTGGAATGGAAGAATTAAAAGGTTTGGCCAAAATTCTCGCATCAGCGATTATTGGAGTTTTTTAGGACGTGTAACTCCATCTTTTGATAATAGTTCTTCAAGGAACGTCACTACACAGATAGGACAAACTGTTTATCTTCATTGTATTGTACACAACCTCGGAGATAAAACGGTAAGAAATATTTAATTTTCTTATTTTATTATAACAAAAGAAATATTTAAAAAATAATAATCATTTTTAGATAAGAAATATAATAATATAATTTTATAAAAATTATATCACTAATTAAATTTCGCTTTAGATAAGTATTTAAAAATTTTTTTCAATGTAAAATAAATAATATAAAAAAAATATGCTTTAAACTATTTTAAAATGTTATATTAATTAATAATTCTTTAATTAAAATTAAAATTAAATTTATCTAAAATTAAGTTAAGTAATTAACCTAATTAAATCGGATTATATAATTATAAATTAATAATAATGAAAAATACGATAACCTCCGAACAACGGACATTTTTTATGCTTCCTTCAGTGGCCGTTGTTTACAGGTTTGTCCGTTTACATTCTATCTTAATTAAATTATTTTTAAACGTTTAAAATAAATTTTTAATGTAAAAAAAAAATATATACAATAAATAGCGTGAATTTTTAATTTATAAAATGTAAATTAAAAAATGGTAAATTAACACGTAAAATGAAACGATTCGTACGTAAATTTGTAACTGTTATATGCGTTTAAACAACTATTCTGCTGTAACTAATCTGAATTGTTGTAGATGTAATTATCACGAAGCAGAATTAACTATATTAGAATTGTGGCTCACCAATTACAAAATAGCTGAAATGTGTCAATATAATAATGGGATATAGATGTAGTCGCAATTTTGATACGTCCTTTGATACTTTAAATTGAGCCATTAGTCACATACATTATTCATTTAAAAAATATTTTAACGAGGTTGATGTAATTTATTAATTAATTATTTTCAATTAAAACATAACGCAATTACTATAGAAATTTAATTTATTTACAGGGCTAATTTATCTATTTTAGCGTTTAAAAAAAAAGCAAAAATTGATATAAATTTTAAAGAGATAAATTAATAAACGTATCGTAAATCTTATAAAAATATGTTTTAATTTTATTAAATTATAAATCATTCTAATTTATTTTATTTTTTTTTAATCTGAGTTAAAAGTTTTATATGTTGTTTACTTTAATACAATAAAATGTAAATAATTTTTGGTAATAGATTAAAGTAGGAACAAGGGAGAAAAAAAATTGTAATTTAAAAGCATAGAATTCTGCAATAGTCAGAAGAAAATGATATGTAGAAAACATTCTGTAGTTGTAAAAGTGGGTATAGTTGGATATACGTGAGGTAGTTTCTTTGTCAATGCCTCCCTTACCAGCCATGACCACCTTTAGGTTTTACTATCGTTCTGTCTTACTGTTTTCTAAAAATTCCCATAAGAAGAATGTTATCTGCATCGAAACTAAGAGAGTTTACTTTAGTTTCTTTTCGAAATTCACTAGTCATCTGCATAAAAATGTTCACAAAATGTTCTTTCAATAAGATAAACTTTTACTTCCATTCTAAATATTAGTAAGCAGAAAAGTGTGTAAAAGTAAAATATAAAAATGATATATAATCTTATATAAATCAATATAAAAGTTATGGTATATATATATATATATTTATATATATAAGCAAGGTATATTGATTTTTCAATTCTTAGAATATTTTATTTTATGTTTTTCTGAATGTATATTTTATATGATATGATATCCTAAATATGAATTATTGATATTTTGTTTAAATATTTTATCAAGTTCAAAACTAAATAGAGAGGATTTTTCTTAAAGAATAAATGGTCTTTTATTTATTTATTTATTTTGAAATTTTCACTTAAAATTTATTTTATTTCTTTAATAAATTTATATCTATCTAGTAGTTAAATAAAATTTATATAAGCCTATATATACTTTTAAAATTCTTTAAAACTTTACTTTAGAATATTTTTCAAAAATTAATTATTAATTCGTTTTATATTTAAATTTATTGTTTTAATATGTTTAACTTTCTACATATTTATCAATTCAGTTGACAGTTAAGACTTTTCAGATGTAAGTGGTTCTCTTCTCTTACAAGCAAGCAACTAATTTAAACTTGAAAATATGTATCAAATTCAATTATGTAAGTGAGTAAAAGTATTCATGAATCAATCAGTTCGTCTTATTTATTGAGTTATGAAGAATTTCATTCAGTTACGTGATAGTAATGACTTATCTAAATTTAATTCTACTGATTTTTCACATTTTAAATAGTTTATTTAATGTCTATATTAGCATTTCCTTTCAAGTTGACATCATTGATGTATATATATATATATATATATAAATTCTCTTAAGAATTCACATACTTATAGTGCTACTACTACTGAAGAATAATCATGAATATCATGAATATTGTATTAGAAATACTGTGAAATACGTAAGTTTTGAATATAATATTAGATTATGAAAACAATTGATCGTCTATAATGCAAGAATTTCTGAAAATTCAATATTTTTATTTTCTTAGGATTTATGTAAAATCTACAAAACTCTTTAATACTTTTTGACAATTTTTATAAATTTAAATATATTATACACTAAATTTAATGATAATATATTATAAAATTGATTAAATTTTACTTGAATAATTTATTTATTTTTTATTTTGTATGTGTGTGTGTTTATCATTTTTAATGTTCGTGATACGTTTCCTCATTTTCATCAATTTTCTTTACTATCAACGTTTACAAATCTCCTTTATTTATCGAAAAAAAAACTATGGTTTATTTATTTATTTATTTATTTATTAAAGCTCATTTTTCAGCTATATATGACAAAACATTCATGATTTTCATATATATAAAGTGAGTCATTAATTTATTTCCCGAGAAACTAGGGCGAAGAAGATGAAAATGTTTTATTCATCATCAATGTTAGATACTAGTAAATCTTTCTTAGTAATCATCAACCGTGTCAAAGTTTATCTAATCTAGAAGTACTCATTCAACAACTGGTAAAATTGTAGTGGAAGAATATAAAGAAAAGCACGAACCACTTCTTGGACCATTACGATAAATGTTGTAACCTCTTTTGTGGTATCGCACGAGTCTACTCAACCACTAGAATTCTCTTGCAAGTCCTTGTCTTTTGTCACTGCTGGAGACAGCCATAATGGGAGGTGACCGTATCGAGGTCGGATAGCTGTCGTTTTTCTGATTCGCCCTCCAGCACATGTTGTACAACTTCCGTTACGGAGATAAGGTTTGACGCCTTTCTAGACAAATCTGGATTAGATATATATTATTTATGCTTACTTATCATTACTAATCGGTGATTGGTGGTAGTTTTTACTTGCCGTTTGACTTTTCAACCATTAAAAATCGTCGTTACTTTTTTTTTATTTTTTTAAAATAACTTTTGTGTCTTGTGAAGATTTTATAGAATTCGCTTTTTAAACCAGATTCTAAAATCATCAAACTTACGAGATAATCTACATATAAAGTATTTATTAACGTATTATTTTACATATAAATGTAATATTTGAATCTAAATTTATTATATTTTCGGTTTTACACTTAAATAACATTAAATTTTATGAAGAATATTTAAAAATTCGATACTTAAAATTCGATAGTTAAAATTTGCAGATAGAACTTTCATTATAAAATGATCGTTAATTAATCTTAAATAATATTTTAAAAGATTAATTTAAAACCTTAATATTTTTTTTTCTAACGAGTAATATATTCTTTTTATTATTATTAATTTTTCATCGAGTCTTGCTACGAAAGTAACACAAAAGAATAACCAAAATGAATCTAATTATAAACTCTCTGAATGCAACATCACGTACAGCATTACCATTAATGGAAGAGTAGGATAGACGTAACTAAAGTACACAACTAGTAATAAAGTAAGGATAAAAGATATTCTAGAAAAAAAAATATATGTATATTTTTAAGCCAAGTTACTTAACAAGATCATTAATTTTTAAAACACTTTAGAATATGCAAGAGAAAAAAAAACCCCAACAGGAAAAAATCTAATGTATTCTTCAATAATTAATTTTATATTTAAATAATAATTAGGCTATTTACTCATAACGTTATTTTCTAAGGCTTTATGTACTGATCGATAAATATTGATTAGGATTGTTATTTGTACAACATATAATGTTGCCTGTCTTTATCTCAGACCTTTTCTCTTCGAGCAAACAACATTTCTTAGAAACGGAAATTACAAACCAACAAACCTTTCAAGGGAGACAGGTTTCTTTTCCCCTCCTCCTCTTCTTCTTCTTCTTCTTGTTTATTTTAGTTTACAGAAAAAAAAGGAGAAGAAACACATTTATTAGATATCCACATTCTAATTCATTTATCATTTAAGATCAATAAGATAATCTGGTTTTCTAAATTGGATTTTCTTCGCATTTGTTAACAGAACAATTTTACTTTTTTCTATGATCGTCCAAAAAGCTAGATAATTGCTCGTTAAGGAATAAAGAACCGCTATCTAAATTATTGATACAATGATGTTTTTCCTCTTCTTCTTCCTTTTTTAAATTATATTTATGGGTTATATATTGCAAGGTGAGTGCATATTTATTTTTTAAATATAATAACTTATAATATATATATATAAAGTTAATGATTATTTTGTAGTGAAGAGAAGAGAATTTATTTAAAAACAATACTATATTTAGAAGCTTGTATCTAAATATTAAAAAAAATTAATAAACTTTTTAAACTAATAAAACTGACAGACAAACAGGAAGAAGAATTGTTAAAATTATGAAATTATTTATTATTTAAATAGAAAATTATATAAAATATATAAGTATCATGTATATAAACACAAAAATACAAAAATTATCTTTAGGTTAATTATATTTATCTTAGTATATTAACTATTCTTAGATATACAAAATAAATTACTTTTAAAATTGACATAAACTTTATTTTGTTTAATTGCCCAGAGCAGGATTATGAAATGAAGTTAAGAGTGATGTCAATCAATTTTAAGAAAATATATTAAATTTTGCTTGGAAATTTCCAAAACTTTCTCCTAACTAAGAGAAAATATTTTAAATTATTATTATATTTCACTTAGTTTTATTGGCAACAAGGAAATTATTTTACTTTAAAAAAATAAAAAAAAATAATAATAATAATTTATGAAATGGTAACCAAATGTACTTGACACTTATTAACTTAGTTTCTTTTTTTAACAAGGAATTTAAACTAATGTTTAATGTTAGATCATATTAAATTTTTAGTAAATGATGTCAACAAACTGAAACGATTCTGCTGTCGAAACATTTAACATTTTTATGTCTTAATTTTATAAAATTAATAAATTTAACTTGATCGTGTTTCAATATGGAAATGTTAATCGATTGTTTGCAATTGTATTGCCTTACCAGAAAGGAAAATTAATATATATAATATATATATACTTGTAATTTATATAATGTAAATTAATACGAGTTTACATCACATAATCACTATCAATAACAGAAATTATTAATTTAGATATATAATTATTATATATGATATATAGATTAATGAGATGGTATCTTATTAAAATTTCATAAGCAAACATCTAATTAAAAATATAGAAAAATTCAGTTATTAACAGTAAATGAGAGGAAAAAATATACACGACTAAGTTTTTGATCACTTTACTCTTGCTAAGGATTAATTATAACATAAATAAATAAATAAACGATATGTATTGTATTTAGAAGGGTGTATGAGAACTATGAGTTCTCATAATGTTGAATTGAAGGGTTGAATTGTGTTGTGTGTTGAATTGAAGGGTTGAATAATGTTGAATTGAAGGGTGTATGAGAACTCATAGTTCTCATACACCCTTCAATTCAACATTATTCAACCCTTCAATTCAACACACAACACAATTCAACCCTTCAATTCAACATTATGAGAACTCATAGTTCTCATACACCCTTCTAAATACAATACATATCGTTTATTTATTTATTTATGTTATAATTAATCCTTAGCAAGAGTAAAGTGATCAAAAACTTAGTCGTGTATATTTTTTCCTCTCATTTACTGTTANGGAAAAAATATATATATTTTAAATATTACGATAATATAATTTTTTTCCTGAATTTTATTCATTTTTAAAATGTTAAATTGAATTTTTTTTTAATTTTCTGTGGTGCATTTAAATGGTTTAATTATGTAATAATAGGGAAAAAGTTAACGTTTTATTTATCTTATTATTGATAAATCTTTCCTATGAATTAATCATTTTTTTAAGTTTAAATTCTGTTTTATTCTTCAATTATTTAGTATTCTATACAGGAAAAGAAAATGTAAATAAATTCAGGAAAATTCAAATTTATTAATATACACCATAGATAAAAATTGGAAAAAATAATATATTAAAAATACATAAAATTTGCAAATATAACAGATTCAACCAGGACTAAAAAGTTATAAGGACAAGAATTAAAATGAAAACATAACCTACTATTGTTACGTTTATCACGAAGTGTCAAAGGAAGATATGGGGTGTCTAAGTTTCATGGTAGACTATATTTTCCGTAGGGTCCTATAGAGTAACTCTAAAAAACTTTGGTCCATAACAGCCAGAGTTTGGGAGTATATAGAGAACAGATAGACAGACACTCTATTCTATAGATACTCTAAAAAATAAATGCTAAATTATAAAATTTAATATTGAAATTAATAATTTTGCAGGCTCTCGAATGTATATATGGGACTATGTAGCTCATAGAAAGGGCTTTAACTGGAATGGAAGAATTAAAAGGTTTGGCCAAAATTCTCGCATCAGCGATTATTGGAGTTTTTTAGGACGTGTAACTCCATCTTTTGATAATAGTTCTTCAAGGAACGTCACTACACAGATAGGACAAACTGTTTATCTTCATTGTATTGTACACAACCTCGGAGATAAAACGGTAAGAAATATTTAATTTTCTTATTTTATTATAACAAAAGAAATATTTAAAAAATAATAATCATTTTTAGATAAGAAATATAATAATATAATTTTATAAAAATTATATCACTAATTAAATTTCGCTTTAGATAAGTATTTAAAAATTTTTTTCAATGTAAAATAAATAATATAAAAAAAATATGCTTTAAACTATTTTAAAATGTTATATTAATTAATAATTCTTTAATTAAAATTAAAATTAAATTTATCTAAAATTAAGTTAAGTAATTAACCTAATTAAATCGGATTATATAATTATAAATTAATAATAATGAAAAATACGATAACCTCCGAACAACGGACATTTTTTATGCTTCCTTCAGTGGCCGTTGTTTACAGGTTTGTCCGTTTACATTCTATCTTAATTAAATTATTTTTAAACGTTTAAAATAAATTTTTAATGTAAAAAAAAAATATATACAATAAATAGCGTGAATTTTTAATTTATAAAATGTAAATTAAAAAATGGTAAATTAACACGTAAAATGAAACGATTCGTACGTAAATTTGTAACTGTTATATGCGTTTAAACAACTATTCTGCTGTAACTAATCTGAATTGTTGTAGATGTAATTATCACGAAGCAGAATTAACTATATTAGAATTGTGGCTCACCAATTACAAAATAGCTGAAATGTGTCAATATAATAATGGGATATAGATGTAGTCGCAATTTTGATACGTCCTTTGATACTTTAAATTGAGCCATTAGTCACATACATTATTCATTTAAAAAATATTTTAACGAGGTTGATGTAATTTATTAATTAATTATTTTCAATTAAAACATAACGCAATTACTATAGAAATTTAATTTATTTACAGGGCTAATTTATCTATTTTAGCGTTTAAAAAAAAAGCAAAAATTGATATAAATTTTAAAGAGATAAATTAATAAACGTATCGTAAATCTTATAAAAATATGTTTTAATTTTATTAAATTATAAATCATTCTAATTTATTTTATTTTTTTTTAATCTGAGTTAAAAGTTTTATATGTTGTTTACTTTAATACAATAAAATGTAAATAATTTTTGGTAATAGATTAAAGTAGGAACAAGGGAGAAAAAAAATTGTAATTTAAAAGCATAGAATTCTGCAATAGTCAGAAGAAAATGATATGTAGAAAACATTCTGTAGTTGTAAAAGTGGGTATAGTTGGATATACGTGAGGTAGTTTCTTTGTCAATGCCTCCCTTACCAGCCATGACCACCTTTAGGTTTTACTATCGTTCTGTCTTACTGTTTTCTAAAAATTCCCATAAGAAGAATGTTATCTGCATCGAAACTAAGAGAGTTTACTTTAGTTTCTTTTCGAAATTCACTAGTCATCTGCATAAAAATGTTCACAAAATGTTCTTTCAATAAGATAAACTTTTACTTCCATTCTAAATATTAGTAAGCAGAAAAGTGTGTAAAAGTAAAATATAAAAATGATATATAATCTTATATAAATCAATATAAAAGTTATGGTATATATATATATATATTTATATATATAAGCAAGGTATATTGATTTTTCAATTCTTAGAATATTTTATTTTATGTTTTTCTGAATGTATATTTTATATGATATGATATCCTAAATATGAATTATTGATATTTTGTTTAAATATTTTATCAAGTTCAAAACTAAATAGAGAGGATTTTTCTTAAAGAATAAATGGTCTTTTATTTATTTATTTATTTTGAAATTTTCACTTAAAATTTATTTTATTTCTTTAATAAATTTATATCTATCTAGTAGTTAAATAAAATTTATATAAGCCTATATATACTTTTAAAATTCTTTAAAACTTTACTTTAGAATATTTTTCAAAAATTAATTATTAATTCGTTTTATATTTAAATTTATTGTTTTAATATGTTTAACTTTCTACATATTTATCAATTCAGTTGACAGTTAAGACTTTTCAGATGTAAGTGGTTCTCTTCTCTTACAAGCAAGCAACTAATTTAAACTTGAAAATATGTATCAAATTCAATTATGTAAGTGAGTAAAAGTATTCATGAATCAATCAGTTCGTCTTATTTATTGAGTTATGAAGAATTTCATTCAGTTACGTGATAGTAATGACTTATCTAAATTTAATTCTACTGATTTTTCACATTTTAAATAGTTTATTTAATGTCTATATTAGCATTTCCTTTCAAGTTGACTTTTTTTTAATCTGAGTTAAAAGTTTTATATGTTGTTTACTTTAATACAATAAAATGTAAATAATTTTTGGTAATAGATTAAAGTAGGAACAAGGGAGAAAAAAAATTGTAATTTAAAAGCATAGAATTCTGCAATAGTCAGAAGAAAATGATATGTAGAAAACATTCTGTAGTTGTAAAAGTGGGTATAGTTGGATATACGTGAGGTAGTTTCTTTGTCAATGCCTCCCTTACCAGCCATGACCACCTTTAGGTTTTACTATCGTTCTGTCTTACTGTTTTCTAAAAATTCCCATAAGAAGAATGTTATCTGCATCGAAACTAAGAGAGTTTACTTTAGTTTCTTTTCGAAATTCACTAGTCATCTGCATAAAAATGTTCACAAAATGTTCTTTCAATAAGATAAACTTTTACTTCCATTCTAAATATTAGTAAGCAGAAAAGTGTGTAAAAGTAAAATATAAAAATGATATATAATCTTATATAAATCAATATAAAGATTTGATCATATTAAAATAAAATTTACATATCTTATTCATTATCCTACTCATTTCCATATTTTCTCAATTGATACTCTCTTTAAAAAAATTTGAGGATAATGCACATGCTGAATATTTATATATTGCTTTGGAGAGATTTTAATCAAGTGGTTTTATTCTTTTTATTCCTCTTTTTTTTTTAATTTTTCTTTAAAAAAAACTATCGAATCCACTAATAAAAGAAGATTAGTCAATACGAAAGGGTGGAGAAAAACGTAAAGTTTATCTTCATAAATAGCTTATAAAAAGCAATTTAACATTTATTACTTTGAAGTTAATAAAATTTTTAAATATTTCAATTTAATAAATATGATTTTAATTGATATTTATATAACTATTTAAAAAAAATTATAAAATAAACTACATAAAAATTATTATTTGTCTGTCATCTAGAATAATCATTTATTACATTTATTTTTTAATATATATATATATATATAT